CAGGAATAGGAGTGAATGGGCACACCAGGGAGGTGGGGTAACAGGGCAGGACAAAGGTACAAGTCAAGGCAGAAAGATACTTGGTGGGAAAAAAAAATCAACACGTGGTAGTAAACACTCTCTGAATATCTTCAAGTACCTTGAAAAGTCTGAAACTCTTAAAATATTCATCTACATGTCATGTGTAACTGACTCTTGGGCATATAGAAAAGAACTTGTGTGCTCACCTGCCAGCCTGTTCGGAAGGATGTGGGATTTACATCTTCATAGTTGTGCTCTCCTCTGGAATTCTGTGATGGGAACAAGAAAGTGACAGGAGGGAGTCCAAGATAAAGAACTGTACATTGCAGAAATGCAATGCTTGTTTGGCTGGCAGAATTAAAAGAAAGTTCAGTTACCTAAAAAAGATAATTTTACATATAGAAGAAGCATTTGGGGCTGATAGTAGCTCTCTTAAATTACTGCTTAAGACTTTTTAAAATTACAGTAAAAGTTCTGTTATCCGGCATCTTACAAGCAGGCATGCTCTACTAACTGGCATGCCAGCTTGTAAGATAAAGTGAAACAGGAAGTGCCCACTGTGGCACTTCCAGTTTCTTCAAGCCTTCATGGCCCAGGGGCATAACAGGCTGTGCGGGGCCCTCCTCCCTGTCTCACGGGGCCTGCAGGGCCCACAGGAGTGGTGGTGATGCAGTGGGAGGGGCAGAGGGGCACCCCAGATGTGGTGGGAGAAACAGTGGGAGGGGCCACTCAATTAACCAGCATATTTTGTTATCCGGCATCCCCCATTCCCAGGGGATGCCGGATAACAGAGCTTTTACTGTAAAAGTATATTATCTGGCTTTACATTAGGAATGGTAGAAACCAAATCAACTTGAATTTGCCTATAGGCAACTCCTGGTTCCATATCAAGTCCAATGTTCAAAGCTTCATTTCACTTAAACATCTAAACCTAGGAATGGTTGCATGAAGTGGCATCTGGGACATCTTAGCTGTATAAGTATTGCCCAGTTAGAAGTTTGTGGCCATAGAGTCCTCATACCTATTACTGTTCAGTACTTTACACCCAGTACTTTAAATCTATTACACCCTTGTGTAGTCTTCTTGGGCATTGGAGATAAGTGGGGATTTGCACCTGCTGCGCCAGCCATGGGGAAAGGAAAGAGATCATTCCCTAGAGTGAGAAGGAAACGGAATTTTTTTTCTGAGATACAACTTCATAAAGATTTGCATCAAAGATTGTAATAAAAGAAAACGACTGCTGTCATGGCAAAGCATAGGCAACACATAGGGAAAGCGGGGGGGGCGGGGGGGAGCATGTGCCTCTCCCGAGATTGGCCACTGCTGAAGCCACTGCTGGCTTCTGTAGGAGGTTGCTGCCCACCCACATGCCCCCCTCACTGCCAACACAATGGCGGCGGCTGTGGGTGGTCCCCACTCACTACTGTCAGGGGTGGCTGTGGGCGGTCCCTGCTCACCACTTGCCACCATGGTGCCTCCCCAGTCTTGGGAAGCACCAGTCGTTCATGTTGCAAAGCCTTGTGTAGGTGTGCACTTTGATGTTCCAGAGCCCAACAAGTGTGTGGGACATGAACAGGATCCCCTGGCCAGCTGCAAGATGCTGAAGTCTTTAAGCAAAGTCACTGCTAATGCAGGTTTCTGGTAGATCCCACTCTCTCAGCAGTGCTGTGCTCTCCACACATTCATGACTCCCTTTGGCAGATTGTAGCAGGATCTGTTGCTAGCAGTGGGAGTAGCACCTCTTTGTGGCCACTCTAATCCCATTCCTATCACTCTGGTCTCACTCCAACTACCACCCTGCCCTCGCCTGCCACACCTTTAGTTGTTCTTATAAATTTGGGATGTTGTCTCCAGAGAACTAGAATGTGGTCCTGGGTACCCTGCCCTGCCCCATCTCCCAGGCTTGACAGTCTGGTTGTGGTTCACTGGACTTCTGGCAGCCACCAACTCACCCACCTGAGAGCTCCTTCACCTGGCACCAGGGTTAGGTTCCAATTCCCCCACACTGTTTTTCTCTGCTTCCAGCCGTGAGCCCTCTCCTCCAGCTCTTCCTAGGCCAGGCTTCCCTCCCTGCCTCAGGTGCAGGGATTAAATAGCTCCTGGCTCCTCCTTCCTCTGAGCTGAGGGCACCTCAGCAAGCCACTATTTAAGGAGCTGCCTTATCTGGGGCTGCCTTATCTGGGGCTGTGAAGCTTTCTACCTCTATGGCCCAGCCCTGCTCTCAGTCCCAGGGCTTGATCACTGTCACAGAGACACAGACTCAAGTGCTTCCCTTTGGGAATATTCCCATGTGCTCAGTGGCCCTCCAGGCCTCAGCCTTGCTTCAGCCCCTGAGCCCAGCACTGTGCCCCTGCCTACTTCATTGTGCATCTGGACTCCCTGGCTATTGCCCTTTGGCCTGACCTGGACCATGAGCACAGATATCATCTGGGATTAGACATATGACTCTGACTGCCTGGTTTGGGCCCCTTTGGCATAGTCTCAGCTGCGGATCTGGAGCCCCTGCAGACTCAGTTACCCGGCAAACCCCACACTCCACAAGACTGCTTACAACCCTCTCTTTGCAAAGCATCCCATAGAACGCAGCCTGGGGACCATGTGCTGAGGTCTAGGAACCCAGAGCAGAGCTTGGGGGGGTGCGGTGGTGGTCTCATTGGAGCTGGAATACAGTTGTGTCTTCTCTCCTGCCCTCCCGCTGCCTCTCCTATGGAGGAGGCTGCCCAGACCCTCTAGATCTGACAGGGACTGTGGCCTGTGGGAGCCAAGCAGGCCTGAGTTCAAAGGGGCTGTGACTTGGGATGCTCTGGGGTGTCAATGAGGCTGTGGGAGAGCCAGGAGGGCACTGGGGCCCGGTCCCTGCAGGGCCACGAGGGGGTGAGGTCTGTTACCCATAATCTTCTTTGGCACCAGAGGTCCTTGGGTCAGAAATTAGGGAGGCACCAGTCTGCTGCTGAGGGGGAAGGGTTGGAGAGGCTGGGCTGGGTGCGAGAAGCAGGAGACACAGGCAGGGCAGGTGCCAATGAAGGGACAGAGAGACCCACCCATACAGATGAGGTGGAAATCCCACTGATAGCAACTCAAGCAACTAGGGGAAAGTACTGGATGCAGGAGCCCAGAGAGTGGCAAGAAGGAATGGAGCAAAGTCTGGGGGGAAAAACGGGGAACACTAGGGTTTTAGTGACATGGAAGCCAAAGATTATCATTTGGAGACGGTCTCTCGAAATGGAGCTGTTGTGAGGCTGAGAACTGGGTGCCAGGTGAGGCTGCTCTCCCTGACCATCAATAGGAGGCTGTTTCTTCCTGACTGTATATGGCTGTCCTGATCCCACAAGAAGGGTCTGTGTTGTCAGAAGTGCTGAGTGAAGGAGCAGCTGTCATCATATCATTGTTCAGTCTTGTACTGTGAGCAACTAGGGAGGAAAAGAAAGGCCCATCCATGCACAGCAGCGCAGGACAATGAAGATTTGACTCAGGAGGCACCAGTCACTCCTGCTTTCTGGGTCTCCTCGGTGAGAACTGGAGGCTCAGATCCTCCTGATCCCTGTGCAGGGCGCCATGGGGTGATACTGGCTCTGCCCCAGCTGAATCTCATTATTCCTCTCAAGGGGGAGGCACCAGGGCTCCCCCCAGGTGCAGTGCCAGGTCTGGAGAAGCCTTTGGCATTGAAGAGCTTTGAAATGAAACATGAGAAATCAGATTCAATGGAGGTGAGTGCTTGATTATTTTTCTTTCTTTTATATCCTCCGCATCCCTATCCCTATGGAAAACTGAACACTCAGGTAAATCTGAGTTTTTAGGCAGTTCACAGCTCCAAATAACAGTCCTGATGGCCATGAAAATCTCCTGACTGACAGCAGATGCACTGAGAAAAGCTGGGGGCATTGAATTACCAGGCAGTGGCTTAAAATAGTTTTTCTGTTGTTTTTACTGGAGTTGTCCCCAGCTGCCTCTCCACAAAGGGTTAACAGATTCCCCAGTAATCCGAGGGCTGGATCTTTACCCCTGGGCTCCTGGCCAGGTCAGCAGACAATGGAGTCATTTCCCAGAAAGGAAACGCCCCAGTGTGAGCCCAGCTCTGAGCACAAGAAAGTGAAACTAGCCCTGAATTCTTCCTGATCATCACAGCCATGGCCACTGCCAGGAGTGTTGAAAGTCTCCGGGATGAAGCCACCTGCTCCGTCTGCCTGGAGTTCTTCAAGGATCCGGTGATGATTGTGGACTGTGGGCACAACTTCTGCCGAGCCTGCATCACCCAGTGCTGGGAGAGGGCCGAGACAGATGTCGCCTGCCCTCAATGCAGACAGACCTTTCCGCAGAGGATCCTCCGCCCAAACAGGCTGCTTGTGAATATTGTAGAACTGGTCAAGGGCCTGAGCGTGCAGTCAGCTGCAGGAGCCGGAGGGAAGATGATGTGTGAGGAGCATGGGGAGGCTCTGAAGCTCTTCTGTGAGACAGACCAGATACTGATGTGCTTGATCTGCCGAGAGTCCCGGGCACACCGAGCTCACCCCGCGGCTCCCATCCAGGAAGCTGCCCAGCAGTGCAAGGTACGGGGCATGGGCCTGGTCCAGCTGTGCAGCTGGGTGTGATTTACACTTCCCTTTAGAAGGCTCAGGACAAGCATAGCGGCTTCTTAACCTGGCAGGGGAAATAACATATATCTGTGTCCAAGAAGGCAGTTTTCCTGAACCACTTTGCAGGAGAACTGCTCTTCTGGCATGGTTCAGTACCGCTGAAGTGCAGCAGCTTTAAGCCCAGTTTATGGAAGTGGGAGTCTCCTCCCTTGCTTGCTCCGAGTGCCTTATGGCTGAGGGCAAGCAAAACTCAGGAGCATCCGAACCCCAAGCCTCTGGGCTTGGGCCTGCAAGTAGGATGCCCGCCCAAGGTTTTGGAAAAGTCTGAAGCCCCAGGTGCGGGTGGAGGATGTTTGCCAGTAGTAGGGCCACTTATGGTTCTGGACTCTCGGATTTGGAATTAGTTTTGGCTAATTTGACCTTGGATACAAATTAAAAAAAAAATTAGCCCTGGATCTCTCTCTCCTAGGGTCACTGTGGCAACTGCATCCCTGCACGTGGAGGGCTGCTTGGTGGAAGCCTCTGTGCAAACAATCCTACTAGAATGAGACAAGAAGGACGGAGATGTCTTTGCCATCAGATCCTTGTTTCAAACCAGATGAAGCAGGGAAGCTGCTTCCCTGGCTCTGGACACACAGAACAGCTGAACCTTCTCCAATATCACTGCAGCAAAAATGACCCACAGTTGTATGTGAAGGCCTGTAGCTTGAAACCAGGAGGTGTCAGGCACCAGTTTCCCTTAAGTTGTTACAACCCTCCCTGGTAGCTGCCTGGGGACAGGGAGGTATTGTAGTAGTACTTTGACAGACTTTATTTCCCCAGCTACAGAGCCCCATGTGGCATACTCTGGAAGGCAGGCCCTGCTCACTGCATCTGCCACTGGCAGTGACTTACTTCCCAGGCCAGGAGCTGATGCTCACATCAGTGCAGAAGTCTCAATAACATGTGGCACTTTGGTGCTCTCAGGGATGGCTTCAGGGGCTAATGATGGGTCCAGAGGTGAAGTGGTGGAACCGCTCCAGTCCAGAGAGCACGACTAGGAGCTCCTTTTGTATCTGAGCACCTCCTTTTCCTGTCTCTGTCCAGGCCTGGCTAGCAAATGCTGTGCTGTGCTGGTTCTACGTTAATACTGCTCTTTTTGAGGCATCCACATGTAGCTGTAGCTGTACTGCTGGGCTGTAATACTTCAGGACTGGTGCCTCACTTCTGAGTCTCTTCTTTTCTGTTCACAGAGACCAGAGTTGTGGCTTTGTCCTGCTCAGCTGCCTAAGACTGGTTGGCACTCTAGTGTGTCGACCACTGTGGATTCCAGGCCGTATTGTTTGCTGTGCAGTCAGTGCGTTTCACTGACAGTCTGCACTTCCCCACTGGTTATAGTGTTGCTTTATGGCACATCCCCAGGACCTGCTCGAGTTCTTCAATCTGCTCTTCCTGCTGGGCAGGAGCTGGAAGCTGGCTGCTTGCTGCTCCATCTGTATCAAGTATACACTATTCAGTGCTGCTGCTTCCTGGAAAGGGGTGCACTGTACTGAGAGCTGCTGGTCCAGCCTGAGCACATGGAGTTTCCTGGGCCTGTCTTTGCCCTCACAGTGCACCCTCAGGCAGCCCTCTCAGCTATGGTGTGGGGAAAAGACTCCATCTTCCCACACAAAGGAAAACTGACCCAAGGATTTTTCCTTCCCTCAGGAACAAATTCAGACTCAGCTGCAGTTTCTAAGGGGAGAGAGGAAGAGGCTTGACGAACTGAAAGGGAGTGAAAGTCAGAAACACCAGGAATATCAGGTGGGTGCTGCTGGGGCCAGGCTGACATGGGGGAGGAAGGACGGGTTGTCTCCTGCTCTGCATGTTTGGTGAAACAGTGACCGTGTCATTTTGTGACTGTGTGTTGCAGTGTGTGGTGGTAGAGGCATGCAGCCAGGCCTTGCAAACCCACTCATCAGTGATAAGCAGGGATCTGGATTTCCCGTTTGCAGTAGAAAAACGTGGATTTTCTCCTTTAAAGGAGAAAAACTGGGGAAATGGTGGGTTTCTCCTTGCAGGCTGGCAGAGTTCCAGCCTGCAAGGGGCTACTTGGGGCTGGGGGGAGTGGGAGGAGGGCGATCAGAGGCAGGGGGCACCACAGGCATGTGCATGGGCACACATGCACTTGGCAGGCAGACAATGTGGTGGAGCAGCTGCTGCAGCTCTCTGGAAGTAAGTCTATGGGGGGGCATAGGCGACACAGGGGAAGGGGGATGCGAGGGGAGGTTGAGGTGGCGGCTGCAGTTCTCACAGAGCCCCCAAACTGAGGGAGGGAGCAGGGCAGGGTTGGCGGCTGGGGCTGGGAGTGTTGCCCAGCTGCGGTGGTGTATGGCACCTGGGGCCGGGACAATAATGTGAGACCGTGGGGCCCAGCCAGGGATGGAGCCATGGGTGGCTTGGCAGGATGGTGCAGGGGCTGTCAGGGAAGCTGGCTTCCCGCTGTTGCGTGCGCTCCTGGGGAGGGGTTGGGCACCATAGGCGATGTGTTGGTGGGGCTTAGGGGTGTACATGCCCTTCCAGATTTCTGTGCCCACAGTGGGGCATGGGACTGCAGCTGGCTAGATCGGCATGGGCAGGAGCCGTTTTCGTGGCTTAGCAGGCAGGACCCTGTGTGGGAGGGTGGAGTGGGGCAGCAAGACTCATTGCTGCTGCCGCCCCTACCCCAGCACCAGCTGCACTGTTGCAAGGAGTAACAGGCCTGGGGAGGGGCCACACTGTCCTCATCTCCTCCTGCCCCAGCCACTTGCATGCCGGGCCACGACACTACCCCTCCGCCATGGCCTGGCTGGCACTGCTGCTCCTCTCAGGCTACCCACGCTGCTTCCCATTCCACCTCCCCTCCAAGGTAAAGCTGTGGCCCTCACAGTGAGAGGAGGTGAGGGCAGTGTGGCCTGCCCCCACTCTGTTATTCCTCATGCTGCTAGTAGCATGGATGTGGTGGCGGGGACACTAAGTCTCAATGCTGCATTTTGCCTTCCCATGCTGGACCCCGTCTTCTAGGCCAGAGAGGTGGCTCCTGCCCATGCCGGTCTGACCAGGCTGCAGCCCCATGCCCTGCTGTGGGTCACACAAATCTGGGGGGGCATGTGCCCCCCATTCACCCTTCGATGCACATATGTTTGGGCACCCTTCTGCCCCATACCCCCCCATGCTGCCGCACACCCCACCCCACTGCCCCACACACAATCCCCTTGCCCCACACAACAACCTCCTTCCCCACACACTGGGGGACTGGGATCTGGAGGGCAGTGGGTCAGGATTGAGGGGCATCAGCAGGGCTGAGAGGAGTGGGGGCTGCAGGTCAGGAGTAAAGAGCACAAGCAGGGATGGGGGGCTGCAGGTTCAGAGTGAGGAACAATGCTGGGGACGGGGTTGCAGGTCGAGAGTGAGGGGCACCAGCAGAGCCAGGGGGCTGTGGGTCAGGACTGAGGGCTACTGGCAGTGCTGGGGGTGGGGGGTCTGTGGCTAGGGAACGAGGAGCACCAGCATATCAGGGCTGTTCAGCACCGCAAAGAAGCTGGGGGCACATCTGCAGCTGGACCTGCGTCCTGGTGAGCAAAGCGGGCAAGGGGAGCTCCAATTTTCTATGATAAAAAACCCAACAAAATCAAATGCCAAACTATATAGATATTTAGAATTTATTTTATTATAATGATTGAGGTGCTGGTAGGCTTCCAAATGGCTTTAAAATTGTAAATATATCAATAAAATATTGTGCTCAACTGACATATAGTGGCGTTTCACTTTAATTGTGGAAAACGTGGATTTTCAGGGTTTTTATCCGAGATTTTGGGATTTTTTAACAGAGAAAATCAGGATCCCTGATCATGCGAGGAAAGCTTTCTTTGCTGAGATCCATGGACTTCTCCCCTCCATATGGTCCTAGCCCTCAGGGAAGCAGAAAAAAGCTTTGTAAAATGAATAGAGTGCAGAGATCCCAGGCAGGGCCCAAGACCTGAGCAACCCCCAACTCTGTACCAGGCTGTGGGAGGTCGAGGGTCCTGGCTGTGCGGACAATGAGGCCCACGGGGCCTTACGAGCCATTCCCTGACTCTCCCCAAAGGGGCTGCCCTCCCTGACATGGTTTCTCTCTGTTCATGGCAGCAAAAGGCAGCAGCTGAGAAGAAGAAGATTGTGGCTGAATTTGAACAACTGCGCCGGTTTCTGGTGGAACAAGAACGACTCTTGCTGGCTGAGCTGGGAGAGCTGGAGAGGGGGATTGAGGAGAGTCAGAGGGAGACTGTCACCCAGCTCTCTGAGGAGATTTCCCGTCTCAACAGCCTGATCAAGGAACTGGAGGGGAAGTGCCAGCAGCCAGCAAGTGACCTCCTGCAAGTGAGGCACATCAAATGCCTCTAGTCCAAGCACAAAGGAGGGAAAGACCTAAATCTTGGGTCTGCCAGGACCAGTAGGATAACTGAGGAGGGGCAAGAAGGGCAATGGCCCCAAGCAGATGCTAGTGGCAGTGATGGGAGATGCAGAATATCTGCCCCAGCTGCTGCTGCCCTGTGCACTTCCACTGCCCAGGGTGCACAGCTGCCCTATTACACCCCTTGGGTGGGGGGTGCCACTAAATTGAGGCTTGTAAAGGGGCTGAACTTTTCCCAGATCCTTCTGCGTGCGACACTCAGAGTCTGAGGAGGAAGCATGTCCCTTCTGGTAGGGGGTGCCCGGGGTGCGTGGCACTGAGCTCACTCTTCCATCTTTTTCTCCCCCTTTAGGACATCAAAAGCACGCTGAGCAGGTACATGGCTCTGCCTCTTTCCCCATACAGGGAGGGTCTTGGAGACAATGCAGTGGCCACATTTCTGCAGGGCACCACAGCCCAGCAAGTGTTGGGACTGTCCCTGAGGTGGGAAGGATGGACCTCCCCCTCTTCTCTTCAGGCAAGTGGCAGCCTTGGGCACTGGCAGCCTGTCCTGGGGAATAGTCCTGGCCACCAGAGCTTGAGCCAACTAGTTATGAAGTCTCAGCTCCTTTCTGATCCTAGGATATATCTTGGACATTTCCAAGCTGAAGAACACTTACTGGTCCCTGCTGGGGCAGCTGCCACTGCCATTGTCTGTGCTGCCCCTGCCCCTGAGGCTGACATACATGGACAGAGCCAGTCTCCAGGTCCCTCCATCTACCCAATGCTATTACCATGAAGCTGAGTTCCGAAAAGAAAATCAATAACATGGACCATTTTTTCCCCAGGTGCAAGACTGAGCAGTTCCAGCTGCCAGAGGGGATTTGCCCAGAGCTGGAAAGGCTCATCATCTTCTCTGGAAAAAGTCTAGCTCTACAGGAGACTCTGAAGACGTTTCAAGGTATTGAGAAGTGGGCCATGAAAGGGAGTAGGGAAGTGTCCTTGCAGAGGGGGAGGAGGCAAGCAGTTGGTTTGAATTTGGAGCCTGCATCTTTTTTAATTGGGAGAGAAACTGAATGTGCTGGACTGATATTGCAGATCGCAGGAATGAAGCCATGAGGCAAGGGCATCTCTATGCCTTTGGGAAAATCACTGATGAACCTGGGCTTCTCATGGGGCCTCTTTGTCCAAGCTGCAGAGGTGCAAAGCCCAGCACTGCTCAGTATGGGCACCTGCAGCCAGGGTGGTGGGAGCTGCAGGGCCCTGCCCCACACATGTCTAGGCCCTGGTGCCTCATGTCAGGCCTCCAAAGTTAAACCGGAGTCAGGTTTTCAAGTTAGGAGCCTTCTGGCTTGGCCGGGGGTGGGGGTGGGAGGAAGGGAAGGGGGAGAGGGGTGCAGGAGGGGCAGGTGGTTGGGGGAGGAGGTGTAGGCAGGGAGGGTTCCTGAGAGGCCAGGAGAGGAGCAGAACAGGCAAGTGGGCTGTGGTCTGGGTGAAACTGCACCTCTGGTATCCTGCACCCCCAAAGGCATTGGCAACGCATAGGGGGGCATGTGCGCCCCCTGGGATTGGCCGTGTTCCCTCTAAGATTGGCCTCTGCTGATGTTGCCAGTGGCATCTGTGGGTGATTGCTGATCACCTCTCGGTGCTTGCTACCTTTGCCTCCACGCACCCCACACCGCGAAGACCGCTGCGGCCACCTGCGGGTGGTCCCTGCTTGACCCGCCCTTGCTGCCGACATTACTGCGGCCACCTGCAGGTGGATCCTGGTCACCGCTGCTGTTACATCCCTCCCTACACTCTTCTTCCTGAACCTGCAGCTCCCTCCCTCCCTATTCTGGGAGAGGAGGCTCGACTGCAGGGGAGCAGGAAGATGTGGAGGCAGCTTCTGCAGCCACAGTCCCAGCAGCATGGGGAGAAGCTGTCCCCATATCTCTGTTCAGTCTTAGGGGCTCAGGGCTGAGGCAGGTCCCAGCCCATAGCATGAACCAGACACCAGAGGTCTAATACCTTTGCCCTTTTCCCCTGCAGAGACTCTGCTGTTTAAACTGGAGAAGCCAGCGTACACAAAGGGTAAGTGCTGGGGGAGCCGGTCCTGGCATTAACAGAATGATCCCACATAACCCACACCCTTAAAGCAGAGTCAAACCCTCTCCTAGCCCAGCACTGAAACCCCCTGTGCTGGGGCCTGGGTTGTTGGGTTGGGATTTTCCTGTCCTTGCCTATAGATTTGCTGCCACCTCCTCCCTTTCCATCAGGGTAGGAGCTCTCCCCCATGCCAGGGTGAGGAGCTGTGGGGCTATCTCCGCTCAGCCTCCAGGTCCAAGGGCAGAGGCAGCTCCTGGGGCCCAGGATGGTCCCAGGCAGGACGGGGCTTCTGGGGAGGGTGACGAACAGCCCCACGTGCCCCAGGGCTGAGCTCTGCCCTGACACTGCTATTCTCTCTCCCAGTGACGGTGACTCTGGATCCAGACACGGCTCATCCTGAACTCATCCTGTCTGCAGACTGGAGATGTGTGACACTGACAGGCATGCGGCAGGATCTGCCAGACTCTCCTGAGAGATTTGATTCTCTGTACTGTGTGCTGGGCTGTCAGGGATTCACCTCGGGGAGACACTGCTGGGAGGTGGAGGCGGCGAGGGGGTTTTGGGCCATGGGGGTCGCCAGAGAGTCTGTAAGGAGGAAGGGAGAGATCAGAATTAGCCCCGAGGAGGGAATCTGGGCTGTGCAACGAACGTCAGCGGTGCACAGGGGGCTCAGTCACTTTGAGGCTCTCACTTCCCTTGCTCCCACCCCCCTGTCCCTGTGCCAGGCGCCAAGCAGGGTCCGGGTGTGTCTGGACTATTCATGGGGGCAGGTGTCATTTCTTGATGCTGGTACTGAGTCTCCGATTTTCACCTTCCCGCTGGCCTCGTTCGCTGGGGACAGAATCCGGCCCTGGCTCTTGCTGTGCAGGACTGGGTCCAAGCTCAGACTGTGCCGTTGAGTTGGGTGGGGAGGGGGACAGCCGGGGAATGGAACATCCTATGTGGGGAAATGGGCCGCTCCAGCTTTCCCTTCTCTGCGACCCCGGAGGAATCCCTTCTACCAGCCCCTGTCCCCTTTCCTTATGTCCCTGGGAGCTGCCAAGGCAAAAGGTGCAGTCTGCACAGACAAGTCTGTCCCATTGCAGCAGGTGGCACCAGGCCTGTCTGTGCCCACACTAGATGGCTCTGCAGGACTCAAGCAAGGCTGCCAGAATGGACCCTCGGGAAAGCTGCCAGCTTTGGGGCTGCCACCCCCTTCAGTCCCAGCAGCCCAGGGCTGGGGCTGAGGGCAAAGTGTCTTTTGGTGTCCTTTGCCCACAGAGCCCTGCTGGGGGGTCTGGGGGTGGGAGGCCACCTGGGCTTGGAGCCTGAGCTCTGCCAGGTGCTGCCTGTGGGAAGCTGCTGGGATGGTTTGTGCTTGAGCTGGTTTTTCATGTGCAGCAAAGGCCCCTGGGCTGGGGGTTTTCTCAGAGCTGGAAGAGTTTCACTCAGGGCAGGTACCTCCCTGCCTCAGGCTCCTCTGATACCAACAATTCCCTTGTATTGCCTGGCCCTGGCAGCTTCACATTCATAGAAATCTCAATAAACATCTAAACTGGGGTTTTGTAATGGCTTTGTCTCTTGGGCCTTCACTCCCCCTTTTCTCTCCCTACATCTCTCCTGCATGGGCTTCTGTCCCATTGCTCTGGCTCACATGGCAGGACGTCCCCTGTGGGATGGACACTGCTTTTCCTTGGCCTGGTCTTGGGCCTTGGCCTTCTTCACCAAGAGACAACTCAAGCTGGGCCAAGCTCTTATTCACCCACAAGGCTCCTCACTCTATTGTGATGAAACCACAGAGCCGGACATCACAGAGGAAAGGACATATAGCAAGACCTAGGACTCTGGGGAGTTGGAGTCTCTGAATGAAGACTGAATAATGTGGTGCATGAGAGGTCATATTACATGGTCCCTGTAGTATGTTCTAGGTCTCCTTGGTGAAAGCTGGAGGCTCAGATCCCACTGATCCCTGTGCAGGACTTGAGGTGGGGATGCTGGTTGTATCCCAGCTCAAGAAGAACCTCCTCCATCTCAGCCCCAGCAACAGGTCTGAAGTATTTGCCATTTCAGAGGTTGGAACGTTAACTGGGATTGGTGGTAAATCTAAGCTAAAACATATGCTGCTTTTATTTTCTCCAAACCAGTTTTTAGGCAATTCTTAGCCCGACAGGAGAGTTTTATGCTGAACATATTTTGGGTTGCAGCAGGCTCACCTTAAAGTGCTCTGTTATTATTATCAATTATTGGTAGTCGATTAACAAGCTTCCCATTTGTTTCCATTACATTTGTCCTCACTACCTCCCCACCAAGGGTTAACAGGCAATTTTACCAGGAATCTAAGGGCTGCACCCAGAGACTCCTGACAGTCCAGCGGACAATCAGAGCCATTTAGAGAAAGGAAACACCCAGCTGTCTCTCAAGTCAAGCTATCTCTGAGCTCAGGAAAATGAGACAAACTTTGTTTTTTCTCCTCTCAGAGCCATGGCCACTGAGAGCTCTGTGGATAAACTCCAGGATGAAGTGACCTGCTCCACCTGACCCCAGTTATCTTTCCTGCCTAGTGCAGGGGGCTGGACCCAATGATCTTGTGAGGTCCCTTCCAGCCCCTTACAATCTATGAATCTGCCTGGAGTTCTTCAGGGATCTGTTGATGATCATGGGCTGTGGGCACAACTTCTGCTGAGCCTGCATCACCCAGTGCTGGAATGGGGTTGGGAGACAAGTTACTGCCCTCAGTGCAGACAGACCTTTCCCCAGGGGAACCTCAGCCCAAGCAGGCAGCTGGAGGATGTGGGCAGGGGAAATACCATGACTGAGGTAATGCAATTAAAATGGCACTGTGTAGTGGAGGGTGCACCCTTGTCTGCTTGCGGACAGGACTCCCTACAAGAGCCTCATATTTAACTTCCCACTGGCCAGCTTCCAGTGGGAGGATCTCAGCTACATGCCGACTTTATGGAAATGGGAGAGTCTGCCATTGTTTGCTCCTGCTGAGGGCTGCTCCATATGGCTGAGGGCAAGCAAAACCTGTGGGCATCCAAACCCCAAGCCTCTGGGCTTGGGCCTGCATGTAGAATGCCTGTCAAAAGATTTGGAAGTATCTGAAGCCACAGGCTGAAAAGTTTGGGGTGGAGGATACTTGCTGGTAGTAGAGCCACATTGAATGGTTCAAAGGATTGGGAACTGATCTGGCTGATCTGGCTAATTTGACCTGGGACATGAAAACATTTCCTTAAAAATACTAAAACATGCATAGAAAGAGCTAAGGGAATGAGGGTAGGGTCAGCTGAGGGAGCTGGAGGGAAGACGGTGCACAAGGAGTATGGGGAGGCTCCAAAACTCTTCTGTGAAACAGGCTAAAAGCCGAGTCCTGGGTGCACCAAGCTCACCTTGAAGCTCCCATCTGCCAGGTATGGGGGCACAAGCTGGGTCAGACTGGCTGGCTGGGTATGACTAAACCTTCCTTCCAGAGCTGGATTTCTCTCTTCCAGCCCTTCTGCTATGGCTGCATCACTGGATTCAGAGGACCGTGTCTGTGGAAGGATCTGAGCACACCATTGCACTGTAATGGTGAGAGGAAGGCTGAGATGTCTGTGAGATCAGGTCCTTCCATTTCCAACCAAAAGAAGCAGGGAGGCTGCTCCTGTGGGTCTGGACACACGGAGCAACTGAACCATTCCCACATGTCACTGACTTAGACATGATCACAACTGTGTGTGAAGGACTGTGGCTAGAAGCCAGGGAGTACCAGGCACCAGCTTCCCTTTAGCTTGTTGTACATTTCCTGGTAAAATAAAGGAAAAAGGGGTGCACAACTTTGGGGCCAGACGTTGGCAGTAGGCCTGTGCAAAGTGGCTAGTATTCGCTTCGGATTCGGCTGATTCGGGGGACAATGATTTGATTTGGGGATTCAAATCACTGTCCTGATTCAATTTGGCCGAATCTGATTTGGAGATTTGGCAGCAGCCAAATCTCTGAATCTCCAAATCAGCCAGGCCAGGCCAGGCCCATCCCCTGCCCCTCTCCCAACTCGGCAATGGCTGCTCTGCCCGCCCCAGCTCCCAGCACTTGGGCAAAAAAAAGCTCCAGCTCAGCGGGTGCTGCCGGGCGGGGGGCGATCCCCACTGCCCCATGCTGCATGGGGGGCTCTGCACGAACCCCCAACCCCCTCCTCCACTCCCCCACAGGTGCCCTGCATGGGCCAGCTCCTGCCCTTTCAGAAAAAAAAAAGCCCTGAAGAAACCCCGGGACTCACTGCTGCTGCCAGCAGGGGCGATCCCCACTGCCCCGTGCCACGTGAGGGGCTCTGTGCAAGCCCCTGAGGCTGCACCAGGAGCGGTGAGTCTCTGGGCTTTCCTCGGCTTTTTTTTTCTTAAAAGGCCAGAGGCCCGGCAGGTGGGGCAACCGTGGGGAGGCCGGGGGAGTGGGAGGGGGGTTGAGGGGGTTCATGCCGAGTGGGGGAATCCCCCAGAGCCCCCCCCCCAGCCCCCACCTCTAGTACTTGCCAGCTCGGAGTCAGCTACAGCTCCCTGTTGCAGCCACTGGGGACTGCCTGAATCATCAAAGCTCTCTGAATCTTTGCTGAAGATTCAGAGAGCTTTGAATGAATTCAGACCTTTAAATTGGTCCCCTGATTTGATTCAGATTCGGAGATTTGGCCACCGAATCGGGCCGAATCTCCTCTGAATTGAATCACCACCTGAAGCTTCGCACAGATGTAGTTGGCAGCACATAGCCCACAAAGGGAGGGAAAGGGGAAGGTCTTCTCCTTCAGCCCAGGGTATATGGAGCCTCTTAAATCTCACAGTCATTCCAGCATGCTGGTTGGAGGCCAGGCCCTCACTCCTTGTTTGACACAGCTCCAGGAGCAAGATTTGTTCTATCCTGCTGGGGTCTCCCTGCTGGTGATGGCTTTCAGGGCACCACTAGTCTTTGCTGCATCAGACTGGCCTCTGGCCAACTGAGGGCAGAGGCTCAATCAGACTTCTGGGCCCCAGTCTCTTCTGTTCCTGAGTACCAGCTCCCTAGTGTTGCTGATCCACAGTCCTCTACAGTTTCTTCTCAACCATTGACCTTCAGTTACAACTACTTTATAGGTCTTTGGGCCTTACAGAGCTGACCCAGCCTGCAGCACAGAAGCCCTACACTAACCCCCTCCACTTGTAATAAACCAGGCCCCGGGGCTTCTAGATGCCCTGGGGCCTGGTTTATTAGGGTGAGCCCGATGGATGCCTTTCAGAAAAGTCTGGCACATGGACATTACTTGCTGGTACCACGAGCCTTCCTCCAGGCTTTAACCCTCCTAGTCCATTAGAGAGTACAATTTCCCCCAATCATCCTGGAGTCTAGAATCTGGTGAACCAAAACCTTCCCTTTCTCTTGGACCTACATGGGAGGTGGAAGGTTGGTGCTTGACCTGGAAAAGGGTTCTCCTTAGGAGTTTTCATCAGAGAGGCATGAGAGACCAGGTGTAATTTCATGGTCCTGGGGAGCCTTAATCTATAAGTGACTGGGTTGATCTTTGCATTGATTGGGAAGTAGTGGTAGTTCAGTCTGGTAGACAGATGTGCAAACAACAGGTGGGTAGTCAAACCTTATCTCCCTCTGAGAAGGCTTGTGCCTCTTGATGATCCTTATCTGAAAATATCTTGTAAGCTCCTTGGCAGCTTCCAGATGTTTCTTTAGGTCTTGTTAGATCTGGTGGATGATTGACTAGATTGGCTGCAGTTGGTGTGCAAGAGGACCGAGAGGGCAAGAGATGATGAATGCAGGGGTGGAGGCCATCATTCAAAATTAAGGAGACTGGCTGGTGGAGGCATGTTGGGAGTTACCACATGGGAATACTGCAAGCAAGAGTAGGGAGACCCAACTGTCCTGATGATAATTCAAAAAGCATCAGAGAGATTGTTTGAGTGTTTGACTGATCCATTCCATTTGTTTGTCAGTTTCTGGGAAATGGGCAGATGCAGCAATGGGTTTGATTTCTAACCATTTTAAGAGTTCTTTCCAGAAGTCAAAAATGATTTGAAGGCCATGGTCCCAGATGATGCCCTGGGAAGACCATGCAGCTGGAAGACATTTCCTAAGAAGAGTTGGGCTGTCTCTGGGGCTGTGGTGGTGTGAGGGCAAGGGATGAAATGGGCCATCTTGGTGAGGAGATCCACTACCACCAGGATGCTTGAGTGCCCTAGGGCAAGAGGCAGATCAGTAATCAAGTCAACAAACACCTTGCGCCAAGGCTGTCTTGGTGTCAGTAGTGGTTGGAGGAAGCCTAGTGGCTTGGCACATGTGATCTTGGTGCAAGCTCAAACCTCACAGGAGTCTATGTATTTCTGAATGCTCTGATAAAGGGGGTGTAGCAGAAAAGGGTGGGGGGGCAGGGGCAACCAACAAAGCTCAGAAGCATAGTAAATATGATCAGTAGAACATAAGCATAGCTGTGCCTAGAACTTCCACAACCAGTGGCTGTCTTCTTGAACACCTCCAGTGATGGAGAGTCCACAGCTTCCCTAGGCAGGCTATTCTACTGCCTCATTATTCTAACAGCAAGGAGGTTTTTCCTGATAACCAACCTACATCTACTTTGCTACAATGTCAAGCCACTGGTCTGTGTCCTCCACTCTGCAGCGGGAGAGAAAACATGCTTTCCCTTCTCTCTATGGCAGCCCTTCAAATATTTGAAGACTGCCATCATATCCCCTGTTAACCGCCCTTTCCACAAGCTGAATGTGCCTAGCTCCTTCAGTCTCTCAGATGACTTGTTTTCTAAGAATCTTTGTCATCACTCTCACCCACCCTCTGGATCCTGTCTAACTTCTTTATGTCCTTTTATTAAGTGTGGAGCACAAAATGCACATGCTCTACATGAAGCCTAACCAGTGGTGAATAGAGACACAATCATCTCCCTGCATCACGCACCTAATACAGCTATTGATGCATCCCAAAACCACATTTGCCTTTTTTGCAGCTGCACCCCACTGCAGACTTGTATCAAGTCTGTGATCTACCAAGGCCACCAGAATCTTCTCTGTAATGCTGCCAGCTTTCATCAAGTCATTGGTTCCTAGCTTGCTAATTGTCCTGATAGTTTTGCCAAACTGTATTAAAGGTCGTCCTTTGGTGAAATGGAGCCTGTTGTCTGGAACCATTGCCTTGTGTAACTATGGCCTGATTATCACTTAGTTTATTACTTTGGTAGTAGTGTTTGGGTTCAGTGCCACACATGTGCCTAGCCAGGGTGCCAACCTGTTCCATGCTCCTCCTGGCTCCTGATATTTCTTTTTGTCCCCCATCCCCAAAGCCGATCTGCAATTTTAACAGATTTATAGTTTTAAAAGTTTAACAAACCCTTCAGTGGGTGCCTCTGCCAACTGCTAGTGGTTTTGCAAATGAGGAGAACAAAGCCAGGAAGCCTGGCTTGAGTATGTGATAATAGTCTGCACTGAAAAATAAAGTGGCTGGATAATAACCCTCATTGGAAAAGAAACTGCTTGCCCATCAGGGTTTGCAAATCCTTCCTTTTGGCCAGAATACACATGGAACCTGAAGTCAGGCACACAGAAACTTTGATTTTTATATTTAAACATAATGTTTATATTAAGCATGTGACCATGAGATGTTTGGGATCCTGAGCTGCACTCTCCCCCGTGTACAGAAGTTAGTTCTGCAGAACCAATAGATGGAAGCCTTTTGTGAAACTTTGCAACATTTCACAGATAAGATGCTCAGCACCAAGTGCCTTTCCTCAGATTAGGGCTTGACTGTGCACAGGGTTGTCCAGTGAGAATGGTAATTCAACTGGTCAGGCCCAGCAGTCAGAAGGCCACCAGATGACCCCCTGCACCTCCCAGCTTGGTTCACTGCGGCCAGCATCCTGCTGGGTGATGGCCACAGGTAACTGCTGTTACCACTCTGAACCCTTTTTCCCACCCCCCCATCTGCCCATGAAGGACAACTGCTCTTCTCTGCTGCTGCACATCTGTGGGTGCCCGGGCTCAGGATGCATGGGGCTGCAGGTGCTATTCAGCCACCATCCCCCTGGGGGCCTCTCCGGGAAGGTGCCCTGGGGACGGACACCCCCCACGACGCCAATGTGCCCAGAGCATGCCACTGCTATGTGTACCCTGGGCCATGTGTGATAAGCAATTTGTGCAGGCTGAAGGTTGCCCAAACCACTATGCTTTGCTGCTGCTAATCCTGCTGGTGCCCCAGGCACACCTGCACTCTTGGGTCAGGACCCTTAGAAATGATGGTGCGGGAGGCAAGCCTGACCTTCCACACAACCTCTGCCAATGGTTGGATGGATACCTGTTGCAGTACTACATGACCCTGACCCTAGATAGTGAGGAAAACATTGCCGCAGTAATCAACACCTTCCTTGTTGTGTGAGCAGCATGGTCAGTCCTGCCCAGCTCTGAGGAAAGGAAAGGGGATGATAAATAAAGTTGTAAACCTTGTTATGCCTGTTCATGTGCTGCCATTTGAAGCGACACCTGGTGGACAAAGGGGCTCATTACATGTCACTGAGTGGATTTCAATTTACTCATAATGGATCCATGGATGCATTGGTTTAATTTGTGGCTATCTAAAGTAAAATACATTGGGATGTGTTTTACTTTGAATTGCAAAAGGGACATTTCAATTGCCAAAAACCCCCATATATTATATAAACTGTAACGCAGTTAAATCACAAAAAGGGCAATTTTCACCACTTGTACAATCACCCATAGGAACCAAACCCATGTGCACAGGCATACACTTGCAAACACCCCTGCACCAACAAGCTAGCATTCATGTATCAGCTCTCATGTGCAACCCTGAAATAATGATGCCACGTTGCCTAGTAATCATTTGAAAACAGTTCTGCAATTGTTGAGTTCTGACTGCTGTTTATCATGCTGATCATAACAGGCCTGCACTTCCTTTGTGCTCTCTGCTCTGTCTGTTTTACCCATCTCTTGTCTCTCATTAGTGTCATCACACCCCTAGGTTGTGAGCTCTTTGGGGCAGGAGCAAGATAGTTTGTTAGTAACTAGCACATTGGGGCAAATGAGACTTCTGGGAGTTACAACAACATTGATAAACCAGCTCAGCATTCATAAATAACCCTACAGAGCAAAGCAGCCTGCATAATGGAGGAGAATGTAGCTAATGAAAAGCACTTCACTTGTAAGCCTTTTAATACTCTTCAGCATATTTTAGGGTCAGTGTTGGGGAGAGTGTTTTTGCTGTGTCTGTAGGTTAACTAGCCTTGGGCTTGTGCAATGGAGTCTGGTGATATTTGCAGATCTAGGCCATTATTGCTGATAACACTCCAAGAAGGCCTTTTCTGTTTGGCAGTCAGAGCTGTAGCCAACCCTCATGGCCCTCTTCACTTCACTGTCTTTGTTGCGGAAACTGTTTCAGCCATTGACCTTTTGGGAGCTTTGCTGTCTCTGGTTGTAAATGACTGAAACAATGATAATGGGCTTGGGCTGTTCCGTTGCTTGTGTGTGTTCAGCAATGGAAGTAGATGCAGGTATGTAGCAGGCAGTTTGACAATAGTACACACCAGAAGTGTTCCAAAAGTCAGTGGTCAGGCAGTGTGCTGTCTTTCTTGCCCCATGCAGAGTCAGAACTGGAAAATACTGGCATAGACTCAGCACTTGTTTTGCACAGAGCTGAGAATATAAACAGTACCCCCAGCACCACAGCAACTGGCTTGTCTCTCACTGAATCCCCATTACCACATTCATTCTTCCCTGAGGAATGCAGTACAGGTGCTACAGTCTGGGTGACAGCAGCCAGATTAACCCTTTCTGTGCTGGGTCTCTACCATACCAGCTGTTGCACCTGCCATCCAATGGAGTGGTAGGGCATAACCAAAAGATGCAGTAGTAGAATAGTTCTGTTCTACACAAACATATCTGATCCTTTTAGCACTGCAGCTGGTGTTTTCAGCCTGGAATAAACCTGGAATATTTCTCAGAAGTCAAGTAGTTAAACCAGCTTTTTGCCTTCTGTGTTTTTTCCTCCTCAGCTCAGATATGGCCTCTAGGCTAGAACATTTGCACTAACCAGCTTTTCTTCTCTAACATTCTTTTCCTGACCTCATTTTTGCTGACCTTGCTGCAGGACTTAGCTAGATTTTTTGACATACAGTATTTAGTACTATTAATTAGCAAAGGGAATTCTGACAGAAGCTCATCATGTTAATTAACATGCTACCAGATACTGCAGTGAGGGGCACAGTATGAGAACCAATGAAAGAACCAAATAGATGCTGGGTTTTAAATAAAGTAAGTGCAGCTGATGCTAAGAAATTGTGCTAAGGACAATGAATGAACTTTTTTCATTGGAATGGCCAACTCCCAAAAACCAGATGGTGCAAGGTGGTCATTTGAAATGTCTGGTACACTTATCACATCCCCCCAGATAGAGATTCACAAACAAGCAAGCTGAAGGCTGTCAGTTATAAGATGGAGTAAGGAATTCCTGGCAAACCAACTCTGTCCTTGGAAGGACACCAAAAGCAGTCAAAGAAATATGTCAATGCAAGCTGGGTGCCAGTTTGGTGTCTGTTTGATGTTCCTGGGATAGATTTTGCTGGATGCCCCATGGCATTTTCTCTTCATTGTAGGATACAGTTGCAAATGGATTTTGCACGGTGCACTGGCAAAATGTGCCAACGCAGCTCTTGCTCCTATGTACACAAACACAAGCTTTGGGAATGCCAGCCGGGTACACTGGTGCCATGCTCAGGCATAACCCTATTCATGCATTCACAATATTGAGAGTGCAGATTAAAGGAACCATGTGAGCTATCTTTCTGCCCTCCTCCTTTTCAGCCAGAGAGGTGTCAAAATGTCAGTTGCTGAAGGCTGTTCCAGTGGACAAAGGATCTGCTTCTATGGGCCTGAGATACCTTTCCATTAGCAGAGATCCTAAGCTGCATCTGAGGTGCTCTTACCTCTGGAACAGTGCTCAGGAGGTGCTAGGCCAGGTTTCTTTAGCATGCAGACCTCCCTCTTGCGTAGCCTGGTGATGGGTGTTAGGCATGCTGTGGCAGAGCAGTTGCGCACAGTACTCCCTGCGCTGCTCTCTTGACTACTTGTTATGGTGCCTTTCCTGGCCTGCCAGGAACACTTTCCCCCAAAAAACTTTTCATATGCCTCCAGGATTTTTAAGCCAACTGCTCTTAGAACCCATGTACGCTCTGAAGCATGCAGAGTAAATACACAGGGGGCAGGATTGTGAACCAGGTGTGCAGCTGGGGCTGACAAAGATCAAAGCCAGTCTGCAGACCAGTTTGGCTGACAAAACTAGAAAAAGCAACTCAACAGGAGTTTTCCTGTGGCAACTGCAAACACCCGTTCAGAAAACAACATGGATAGTACTCAGGCAATAGGGGAAAAGTGAGCTCCTGTAGCCCAGCCCCTCCCTTCCTCTATATAAGGGAGCTGTCCAAAGGATTGCCCTGCACTGTCATCTCTTTGCTTTCCAGGGGGAGGATATAAGCTTTGTTGCACCTTGAGCACTGATATCCTAAGCATGGCTAGTTCCTTAAGTCGCAATTTATTCTGCTTTGGGGTTCCTCAAGGGCCCAGACTAAATTGGATCAGTGCAGCAGGGTTGCAGCCAGGGCTGCTCAGTATCCATGGAGGAGCTGGGAGCATTGGCAGTTACCTTTCCTCTGCCAGTGATGCATTTGTGAAGTGTGTGCCAGGAGGTAGTTATGAACCAGGCATTGGATCTGGTGCTAGTGGAATAGGCCTCCTTGGTATGAATGAAAAGGACACCATGCAGAACTTGAATGACCGCCTGGCCGCCTACCTGGAGAGGGTGAGTGACTTTCAGAGCTGAGATTTGGGGTCTGGAGCGCAGCCTCTTGCAGAGAGACATAACCATGGCATCTCACTCTGAGGCATCTGACATGATGCATGATTGTGCATGGATGTATATGAGAGAAGATAAAAGCCATTGGGCAGCAAAGCTCTAGTTAAGGGAACAGCATTAGTGCTGGTGGGCAATAATAATAACAACTAGTATTACTACTACATAATATAAGTGTAGTGTAACATAGTAGTACTGGTATGATAACATAACTAACAACAATTACAGTCAGCACTGTCATCATTATGGCAGTGCCTAGGATCCAACTAGGAATGGTATCATGCAAACATAGTAGCCGGTGTACACAATGACGGGTGTATTGTACAAATGCCACTTACAAGCATGGAGCTGAAGTTTGGAGTGTGCCAGAGTAAGGTTATCCAAAAAATAAAAAAAAGGGGATGGTTCACTTTCCAGACTGCCCGTCATCACAGCATTTTGGCTCCCAGATCTTTGGTTGGAGTCTGGGCTGTGGCCATTCTGAAGCCCAGCCCCCAAGTGTACAAATAGCTCTTTGGCAAACCATGTAATTGCACAGTGTCCCCAGGAGCTCCATTTCTCTGGTAGCAGATGATCCCAATTTTTGCCCTGAATGAGTCAATGCTGCTGCCTTGGTTTTGTTATCAGAATCTGTAGTAGAGACAACGTAGCACTGCCTCCCCCAAACCTCTTGCTCCCCACCCACTTTTTTTTTCTTGGCCATCCTTGCTGCCACTAGGTGTGTTCTCTTGAAGAAGCCAACGGGCAGCTGGAGCAGCGGATCCAGGAGCTCCAGGTGAAAAAAACACTCGCCAGACACTATGATCCAAGTAGCTGCTTCAGCACCATTGCAGAACTCAGATCACAGGTACTGAGATTCCTTGACCCTTCTACTGTTTGCACATGGGGAGAAGGTCCTGGCTTTGACTTGTGGCTCCATTTCCACCCTTGGCTTGTGTGTGGACAGAGGGAGGCAATCCCTGCTGTTTCTTATTGCTAGGACTGAATATCAGGTGGTGCCTTGGGGTACCTTGGCAAGGTAAGCTGGTGCCCGCTTTGGAGGCTACTCCTACATCCCAGCTTTCATTTAAAGAGCCCTCATTCTGTACCACTGTGAAGGTAACCTGCCACCTGGGATACTTGTTTGCAGCCTCATACAGTCACTCTGAGACATATGAACTGCCTCTGTGTGCCAGTAAGTCATTACAGACAAAGTCTTACACCATCTGCTTGAGTATCAAAAGAATTTCTTTTCTCTGTGGTGAAATGAGGTCTGACTTCCAATGTGAAAAATGAATGCAGCTTATCATGGGAAGTAGTAGCTTGCAGATGGTCTGTATCCTTCTTTACAGATCTGGTGGGTGCTGTGCCGGGAGAGGTTAAATGTCCATCATACTGATTTTGGTCACGTGCATTTCCTTTTCAATGATAATGTGATTTAAAGAGTCGCTATTCCAAGCTTGCCCTGTGCTGTGAGGTTCATGCACCTGAAAGCACAGTTCTGGCCCTGGTAGCAAAAGAGATGGCTAACAGTGTTCCCCAGCAGACCTCCCTAGTTTCCAAGAAAGCAGTAGAGGGGCTCAGCTACCTCCCCTTCTCTCCTTCTGCAGATCCAGGATGAGTCAGTGCGCAACTCCCAGCTGACCCTCCAGCTTGATAATGCCAAGCTAGCTGCCAATGACTTCAGAATGAAGTAAGGGATCTCTACCAGACCCCCTTCCTCATCTTCTTCCCCCTCCTTCACCCCTATGCTCCCTTTAAAGGCCAACTTTTCAAAGCAACCTCTGCAATCACACCGGGAAAAATACAAATGCAGTCTGTGCAAGCACAGAAATGGACATTTGTTCACACAAAGGAAATGCTCTTGCAGATGCTACTTATGTATTATGATTTGTTTTGTGGTGGCATTGGGAGGCTACCACTGTGGACTGGGGCTTCATTGTGCTGGGTGCTGCACATTTGTCTAATAATGAGGTGGGTCTGCCTCAAAGAAGTTGTGGTTGTTAGTGATGCTTTGAAGCCGAATGGAACATCTTCCTGGCTTTGAGAGTGCAGTAACACACTTTGCTCCACCTAAGGTGGCTATTGAGGCATCCCCAGAATACAGGGCATCCCCTTGGTGAGTGATGGGACCCCCCCCCCTCCTTGGCCAATCAGCAGCAAGGGGTGGGGCCACCACAAAAAAGGCCACTTCCCTCTCTCTCTCCCTCCCTCCCTGGCTGGCTCAGAACCCTGCTGCTCCTGGCTGTGCACCACCCTACCTCTAGACACAGGCAATAGACTCTCAAAGACAAATGATTGGCATGTCTTTCCACCAATGAACTGAAAAACAGGACTTTTTGCAGTCTGTTTCTTGTTCAGAAACAGCCAGGGGACAAATGATTTAAAAACAGGACCAATGGCCACCCTAGCTTAGCCCCAGGGCAATGGACTTAGTTGATGAACTCTGGTCCTGTATCAGCAGTCAGAAAACCCCAGGAGACTATTCGTTTTCTTGGGATAACCCTGGCCTAGATTCTCAAGCTCACATGACTCCTCTCAGCTGTGGGCAGCAGGACACTTTATTCTCATAGCTGCCCATGACTCACTCAGCTGTGTCTGGGTCAGCAGGATGCAGACTCTTGTGCTCGTTCCATATAGGTATGAGGCTGAGTTGGCTACCCGGCTGGGTGTGGAGAGTGACATCAAGGGTTTACGCAAGGTCCTGGATGGGCTGACAGAGGCCAGAGCCAGTCTGCAGGTGCAGATTGAAAGCCTGAAGGAGGAACTGACTTATCTCCAGCAGAACCATGGAGAGGTGAGGTTGCTGCAGAACCCCACTGGGATCCAAGAGGATCACTATAATTGATGTGAACAAATTTGAGGAGTTTTAATGTTCACAGAAGACATGATGACAGGTGTGGGATTCAGGAATGGTTCCCTTGGCTTTCCCAATACACAGTACTTCTCAGTCCTGAGCCACAGCCCTCTGCTCCCCCAAGGCACAGATCTGCTGGGCACTCCCAACCCACATCTCTGCCCTGGGCTTCTCACCTATATACCACATGGAGAGCTGCTTTTATAATGAGCTGGACAAACTTCCTCTGGGGACTAACCTCAAATCCTCTTTTCCTCCCCTGAGCTAAACCATGACTTAAGACTGGATCCCAATGACAAAAAGCCAGTGCATGAATCTTCTATGCTGCCAGTCCCTCATCCCTTCCCTTGCCTCGCTTCCTGCTCTTTCTGGCTTATGACGACCGATTTCCTTCACCTTTCAAAGGAAGTGGCTGCTCTCCAAGGTCACCTGGGAGGCTCTGTCAGTGTGGAGGTGGATGCCAGCCCAGGCATCAATCTGGTGAAAACCCTTGCAGAGATCCGGGACCAATACGAGGATATAATCGAGAAGAATCAGAGAGAGGCTGAAGCCTGGCACAAGCAGCAGGTAGGGGAGGCTCAGCAACTAGACACAAACTCATGCTATAACCTTCTCTCAGTGACATCTATTCACATTACACCTCAGTGTGGGAGGTTTGGTGGAAGATGCATCTGACTTGAGATCACTTATTTTCCATCCATATTGTCTCCATCTACTAACAGAGAGGATGCAAAATGTCCCCCTGGTGAGTGGGGGCATCATATGACTAAGGCATTACTGATAGTGCCCCTGCCACCTTGCCAGGTACATGGCTTGAGCTCCTTTGCTTCTGTGCAGTGTGAGACATTCACTCAAGAGGTCGCCACCAGCAGTGAAGCCCTCCAGGCTGCCAGGACAAAGGCAACAGAACTCAAGCGCATTGTGCAGAGCCTCGAGATTGAGTTCCAGATGCTGCAGAGCACGGTGAGTACCACAACTCCATCTTCATAATTGTAAGGTATTAAGAGGAGTGTCGTTAGAAAGGCCATGAAACTGTGGGTACGCAGGGATCCAGGAAAAAGCAAGAAAGCAATGGTCATGTGACAGTCTTTTTGCCAAGGGAAAGGCACTGGGATTTGGAACAGGCTATTGCAGCCTTCAGCATTAAACGTTTCCCTTGAAACACAAGTACTGGTTTCTCTGCTGAAAAAACTTTTGAAGGTCCACCTCAGCCCCAGGCCTTAAGCTGTATCACCTGGGGTCATAGGCCACAAGCCTCACCATCTTGGCCCACAGGAAATATTAATCCTCAGAATCCAAGCTCTGGTGGGCCTTGTCCCTTGTGGGACTTGAGGATCCAAACTGGAGTCTGCTGTCTCTCTTAGGATGGCTTTCCCATTCTCTCACCCATTGCGGGCTCCTTGGCTTCTTCCTGCAGGGACACCCTAAATCCCTGGTCAAGAAGTTGTCCAGATGGCATTACCCAAGACACTCAGCAGCCTTGGTGTGACGATACCCCTCCCTTCACTGCTCTGCAAAGGCCTTAAATGGCTGGGTTTTCCCCTACCCATGTGCAGCTGGAATAGAGTACAGTTTGGCACATCTTTCTTTTGCTTTTAGAAAGAAGCTCTGGAGGGCACATTGGCTGAGACAGAGTCTCACTATGGGGTGGAAATGGCACAGCTGCAGAACCTGGTTGCTGGGAAAGAGGCAGAGCTGGCACAACTGAGAACTGACACCCAGCGTCAAGCTAATGAGTACCAGCACCTGCTGGACCTCAAGACCAGGCTGGAGGTGGAAATTGCCACTTATCAGCATCTCCTTGAGGGTCAAGAGGTCAGGTAGGAGATGTACAGTTCTGAGCTCCTAAAGCCACAGGCTGGGGAGGGCTGGGAAAGGTGTGAGGTGAAGGAGAGGGAGAGAACCCAATGTAGTCCAGAAAGTTATCATGGTCAGCATGACTCTTCTGGCAGTGAAAAGGGCCAAGTTCAATTATCTAGGGGCTCTTTCTAAAAATATTTAAATGCTAGTTCAATTCCCCAGCTAGAAACCAGGGAAACTATGCTTTATCATCTGAGTAACCTCGATGAAGAATATTTTCTCTTTCACCTACAGGAAGCTTAAGGGTTTAAAAACAAACAGAACAATATGGGATGGGGAAAAAGGGAGCATGCATACACTTGGAAAAGGGACCCAGAATGATAAGGAAATGCTAACAGGTGGGTGGCCTGTCCCCAGGATGTCTTGTCAAATTACTTAAATCCTGATCCTTTTCTCACACACAAGTGGTTAATAAAGCATTTGACATAGCCCCCCCACCACCCCAGCTCCATCGTACCCTACTCACAGTTAGCTGTTCAGGAAGTCTCAATTTTGGCCAGACCCAGCCCATTCTCCAAAGGGACCTTCTAGTAAATGGTTCCACCACCTCTCCTAGCTGAAGTGCTTGCAGCTTTGGTGTAGGATAGGGAAGTTTCTCTGGATGAACTTAGCAAAGCTGCTGCTCCTAGCATTAGCTCAGGTAGGCTGAGCTCTGTCCATCACCTTGAAGCTGTCACCTGCCATCTCAACTCTGCTGGCCACCACAGCAATGTCTCTGTACCTCTGCAGCTCCCTTCACTGCTTTGTAACCATCTCTATGTCCTCACATCTTTTTAGATACCGGCTCTAGGCCACCAGGAACAGAGTTCCTGCCTTCCCACCCATGATCATGTGTTTTTCTCTTGTCATTATAAAGTCTGGGGCTCCTTTACCCCACTATTACAAGGTGACTTCTCACTTCAGACACACGCGACAGTTCTCTTCTCCATTTGTTATCCAAAAGGGATAACAGCCTTTCATCAACCCCACCATTAAAACTGTCTTGCCCCAAACTGTCACAGAACTGACAGCCAAACAAGAGCTTGGTTCAGTAGGCCTTTTTCTGAGCTCACCAGCTGGTGGCACCAGCACTCATTCCCCATGGAGTACAGTGGCAGCCTGAGGAGCTGGTGGAGGGAAGGGAACTGGGAAGCTCCAGTGAGGGATAAGGTCCAGGTTTCTAGGGTCTGCAGATTGAGCACAGCACATGGCAAAGACCCTCCACTCCCTTCCATAACCCCTTCCACTCTTCATCCTGGGATGCCAGTGCCTTCTCTGCATTAGCTACTGTCATGAGCAGGAAAAGGGGAGCTGACATATGGCTCTGGGGGGAGATTGCAGAGCTCGGGTACAGGGTCCAGGTCTCTGATTTACTGCCGAATAAAGTTGTTTTGGGAGAATCCCAGCCTCCCTGGGGATTTGAGGCTGGAGAAGAGGGTGTAGGTGGAACAGCCAGGGCTTCCAAGGAGATGGGGGAAGGTGGCCCTTCTGGTCATCTTTACCAAGTGAGGCATCCCTTCTTCTCACTACAGGTCAGAAGCCAAGTCACCTAAGCAAGAAATCTTGCCAGGTGAGTCGAGTGGTGGAGGAGCTTCCACTTGCTGGGGGAATGGTCCCTTTTAAGCTGAACCTCCCTCCTGTGACCTCTCTCTATTTATTCCTATGGGTAAATGCTGAAGTTGGTGCTGGTGAGTGGGGCAGGGCCTTGGGGAACGGAGCAGGTGCTGCTGGCCCCCAGCATCTCCTTTCTGCCATGCAGAACTCCATCACTGTGACCCATTTAATCTCAGCCTTGCTGCAGCTGCTGTCAACAAGGGGCCAGTTGTAGTGTTGGCTCCAGTGCCAGGGAGACCTGCCCACTGGAGTCACTGGCTTATGGCAGAGAGTTGCTGGGAATGGCATTGTTCGGTCACAACAATTTGGGCCAAGCCAGAGCTGGCCAGAGATCTGTGTTCTGTGCTGAACAGACCTCCTTCCTTGAAGGCTGATTGCTCCTAGGAGGTCCAGGGGACACAGAATGGCACAGACCTACCCTGCTGGTGGCCAGGAAGGCTGTCCTGCCTGCTGCTGCTGGGCCTCCTTGGGGTGGCTGAGCTCCTGGTGCATGGGGAGATGCTCTGATGGCTCCCCACCCTGTTCCTTCCCACACTGAGCCCCACTGTACAGTTAACTCCCACAGCCCCACTCTCTTGTTTTCCTTCTCACAGAGGCTGTTAGCAAGGCCCCCACCACCAGGAGGATAAAGACTCTGATTGAAGAGCTGGTGGATGGCGAGGTGGTCTCCTCCTGCATCGAGGAGGTGGAGCATCCTCTATGAGGGATGGCTGGGAAAGGGCAAGAAAAGGGGAAACCCTCCCACCCTCTACAGCTTCTGCATATCCAGCCTCTGCTGTTCATCCATC